CTTCTGCGCCTCCACTGCAGCCTTCGGAAAATGCATTAAAGCCAGACGCTCCGAACCAACCACAGCAGCGGAAGCGTTTGGACTTGCCTTGGCTGCCTCTTTCGTGGCCGCGTCCTCAAGCGGACTTCTCTTGTGCAATTCGGTATACCTGCGAATACCCCATCCCCTGTACGAACCTTTTCTTAGCTTCCTGCTGGGTGGCGAATCGACACCTTTACTATTAATATGTTTCTTCTTCTTACTATTATTGTTATGCTTATTATGCTTATTATTATAAGTATTGTTATTCGCATTGTTTTTGCTATTACTGTTACTACTATACATGTATACACACCTTTATACATACATGTGTACATAGTATGATCACAATTATATGTTGAGTTGCTCATTAATTTCTTTATCTATCTAGTCATCTGTTCTTGTAAGTTATACACATCATACATACATGCATGCATGCATGCATGCATGCATACCTACCTACCTACCTACATACATACATGCATGCATGCATGCATGCATACATACATACATACATATATAGATAGACATTACATCACTACATCATGTTATGTTATACTATGCTATTATGTTCTATGTTGCTATGCTGTAGTGGTTTATGTTATGATGTATGTGTCATAGTGTGCTATATTGTGTGATACAATGATATATTATAAAATATTATATTATGCTGCATCAATTTATATTACACTATATTATATTTTACTACATTGCTACTACATTATTTTCTGTTATGATAAACTCGTTCATACCATATTATATCATGTTCTACTACGTTATATCATATTCTACTATATTATAGCATATTTCATTTCACTGTGTGTATATATATATATGTCATTTTATATTATAGTATTTTGTATTCTTGCTTATTGTACTATATTATGTTGTATAATATTGTATTATCACATATTCATTTGTATTATATTATCATATATTATAGTATATTCTACTATATATTGGCATATACTTCATATTACATTATACTAAAATTATAGTTATAGACGTATAGATATAGATACCTCACTCTCTCTGAGAAGAATAGCCCCTGCGCTCCTTGACCTTCGCCGCCTCTTTCTGCGCGGCTGCAATGGACACCTACTTGTAGGGCGACTTGGGCAAGAAGAGCCAGTCAGGCGAGGTCGGTAAAAAAAAACAGAGGCTTTGCTGGGCTGGGCTGGGCCTTCTGCGCACGCGCCTCGCGCTCGGGCGCACCTGCTGCAAGGGTCTCGGTCAGCTCAGCGAGCCTCCAAAAATCAGGAAGGCGACAACTCCCTCCAAGCTCATCTGCACAATGAAGCATGCCAGCCTTTTCTGCAACTCATCCTCCACCTACAACCAAGTCCGGACAAAGTTAACGAGCTCTAGTTCCATGATAGCCTCACGTGACATGAACTGGGCACCTGCTTGACCACCACGTGGTCAAAGGTGCCACGAGCGGCCGGCTCCTATCAGTGTCTTCCAAAGACACCTACTGCCTTTAGGTCTTACAATCCCTTACGCTACTCCTTGTCCAGGGCGGACGGCAGCGAAGTCAGCAGGGCGGTGTCGAAGCCTGTTGGAAATGTTGAGAGATAGGTGGCACGTTGGCTCCGAGACCTTGCCGCCTAAGCCCTGAAGCCAGTCCATCACAAGCCAGTCTGATGCTTGGCAACCCTTCCCCTGAATCTCCTCGCCGAAGGCTGCCAACGGTGAACAAAAAACTTGTGCTTGGTTGCGCCTTC